TGCCCTTAATCTTTCCCAGCATCAGGGTCTTTTCCAATGAGTCAGCTCTTCACATGAGGTGGCCAAAATATTGGAGTTTTAGATTCAACATCAATCCTTCCAATGAACACCCAGGACTGATCTCCTTTAGGATGGACTGGCTGGATCTCCCTGTAGTCCAAGGGACTCTCAAGAGTCTTCTCCAACACCACAATTCAAAAGCATCAATTCTTCTGTGCTCAGCTTTCTTTATAGTCCAACTCTCACATCCATACATGACCACTGGGAAAACCACAGCCTTGACTAGACAGACCTTTATTGATGATGACAGGCAAAACTGTTACAGCTTGGTTGGGATGTTTTGATTCACCTGCCATATTCACCAGCCACTGTACCTTTGGATTTCCATTTATTTTGGCCTTTACAAAATTCTCCTAATGGAAAAAATTTCAATTCCCTAGAAGACTGTACAAGTCACCTGGAACAGTTTCTGCTCAAAAAGATAAAAGTTTTGGGAAGATGGAATTATGAAGTTGCCTGGAAAATGGAAGAAGGTAGTAGAACAAAACAGTGAATACATTGTTTAATACAGGTCTAGGTGAAAATGAAAAATGTGTCTTTTATTTATATTCACCTGGCTTGGGTTGTTTTACAGATCTTTTCCATGAGCACTTCTTCTGGGATGAATGTAACTGAGCAAGCAGGTAGGTTCTTAGCGGGGAGAGAGTCACAAAAGTCATAGTCATTCTACCCCAACAGTTGCCATGGCTTTAGAGACAGCCATAATGGCTGTGTGACAAAACCTCTCTCAGCCTTAGCATCTATGTCTATAAAATAACACCTACTTTACAGGCTTACTGTAAGAATGAGAATAGCAGAAGTGTTAATACTGCAGAAGCACACAATAGTTCAGGTCAGTTCAATCGCTCAGTTTTGTCTGACTCTTTGTGACACCAGGCTTCCGTGTCTATCACCAACTCCCGGAGTTTACTCAAACTCATGTCCATTGCTTCTCCTCCCACCTTCAATCTTTCCCAGGATCAGAGTTTTTTCAAATGAGTCAATTCTTCCCATAAGGTGGCCAAAGTATTGGAGTTTCAGCTTCAGCATCAGTCCTTCCAATGAATATTCAGGACTGATCTCCTTTAGACTGGTTGGGTCTCCTTACTGTCCAAGGGACTCTCAATAGTCTTCTCCAACACTTTTGAACACAGTTCAAAAGTATCAGTTCTTCAGCACTCAGCTTTCTTTAGAGTCCAACTCTCACATCCATACAAGACTACTGGAAACCATAGCTTTGATTAGACAGACCTTTGTTAGCAAAGTAATGTCTCTTCTTTTTAATATGCTGCCTAGATTGGTCATAACTTTTTGTTCAATGAGCAAACGTCTTTTAATTTTATGGCTGCAATCACCATCTGCAGTGATTATGGAGCTCCCCAAAATAAAGTCTGTCACTGTTTTCACTGTTTCCCCATCTATTTCCCAAGAAGCGGTGGGGCCAGATGCCATGATCTTAGTTTTCTGAACGTTCAGTTTTTTTTTTTTTTTGAACGTTCAGTTTTAACCCAACTTTTTTACTCTTCTCTATCACTTTCATCAAGAGGCTCTTTAGTTCTTCTTCACTTTCTGCCATAAGGATGGTCATCTGCATATCTGAGGTTATTGATATTTCTCCCGGCAATCTTGATTCCAGCTTGTGCTTCATCCAGCCTGGCATTTCTCGTGATGTACTCCGCATATAAGTTAAATAAGCAGGGTGACAATATACAGCCTTGACGTACTCCTTTCACAATTTGGAACAAGTCTGTTGTTCCATGTCAAGTTCTAACTGTTGCTTCTTGACCTGCATACAGATTTCTCAGGAGGCAAGTCAGGTGGTCTGGTATTCCCATCTCTTTAAGAATTTTCCACCGTTTGTTGTGATCCACACAGTCAAAGGCTTTGGCATAGTTAATAAAGCAGAAGTAGATGTTTTTCTGGAATTCTCTTGTGTTTTCGATGATCCAGCAGATGTTGGCAATTTGATCTCTAGTTCTCTGCCTTTTCTAAAACCAGCTTGAACATCTGGAGGCTCATGGTTCACATACTGTTGAAGCCTGGCTTGGAAAATATTGAGCATTACTTTGCTAGCATATGAGATGAGTGCAATCGTGTGGCAGTTTGAGCATTCTTTGGCATTGCCTTTCTTTGGGACTGGAATGAAAACTGACCTTTTCCAGTTCTGTGGCCACTGCTGAGTTTTCCAAATTTGCTGGCATATTGAGTGCAGCACTTTCACAGCACCATCTTTTAGGATTTGAAATAGCTCAACTGGAATTCCATCACCTCCACTAGCTTTGTTCATAGTGATGCTTCCCAAGGCCCACTAGACTTCACATTCCAGGATGTCTGGCTCTAGGTGAGTGATCACACCATCATGATTATGTGGGTCATGAAGATCTTTTTTATATAGTTCTTCTGTGTATTTTTGCCACCTCTTCTTAATATTTTCTGCTTCTGTTAGGTCCACATCATTTCTGTCCTTTATTATGCCCATCTTTTCATGAAAAGTGCCCTTGTTATCTTTAACTTTTTTGACGAGATCGCTAGTCTTTCCCATTCTATTGTCTTCCTCTATTTCCTTGCACTGATCACTGAGGAAGTCTTTCTTATCTCTCCCTGCTATTCTTTGAAACTCTGCATTGACAACAGAGCATGAGATGGTTGGATGGCATCACCACATCAATGGACATGAGTTTGAGTAAACTCTGGGAATTGGTGATGGACAGGGAGACCTAGCACGCTGCAGTCCATGGGGTTGCAAAAAGTCGGACACAACTGAGCGACTGAACTGAACTGATTCAAATGGGTATGTCTTTCCTTTTCTCCTTTGCCTTTCACTTTTCTTCTTTTCATATCTATTTGTAACGCCTCCTCAGACAACCATTATGCCTTTTTGCATTTTTCTTGGGGATGGTCTTGATCACCACTTCCTGTACGTCATGAACTCAGTCCATAGTTCTTCAGGCACTCTGTCTATCAGATCTAGCCTTTGAATATGTCACTTCCACTGTATAATCATAAGGGATTTAATAGGTCATATCTGAATGGTCTAGTGGTTTTCCGTACTTTCTTGAACTTAAGTCTGAATTTGGCAATAAGGAATTCACAACCTGAGCCACAGTCAGCCCCTGGTCTTGTTTTTGCTGACTGTATAGAGCTTCTCCATCTTCGGCTGCAAAGAATATAATCAATTTGATTTCAGTATTGACCATCTGGTGATGTCCATGTGTAGAGTCTTCTCTTGTGTTATTGGAAGAGGGTGTTTGCTATGACCAGTGTGTTTTCTTGCCAAAACTCTTTAAGCCTTTGCCCTGCTTCATTCTGTACCCCAAGGCCAAATTTGTCTGTTACTCCAGGTAGTTCTTGACTTCCTACTTTTGTATTCCAGTCCCCTATAATGAAAAGGACATCTTTTTTGGGTGTTAGTTCTAGAAGGTCTTGTAGGTCTTCATAGAACCATTCAACTTCAGCTTTTTCAGCATTAGTGGTCAGGGCCTAAATTTGGGTTACTGTGATATTGAATGGTTTGCCTTGGAAATGAACAGAGATCATTCTGCCATTTTTGAGACTGCATCCAAGTACAGCACTTTGGACTCTTTTGTTGACTATGGACCTACAAGACCTTCTAGAACTAAACATAATCACAGAAAACTAACCAATCTGATCACATGGACCACAGCCCTGTCTAACTCAATGAAACTATGAGTCATGCCGTGTAGGACCACCCAAGATGGATGGGTCATGGTGGAGAGTTCTTACAAAACATGGTCCACTGGAGAAGGGAATGGCAAACCACTTCAGTATTCTGGCCTTGAGAACCCCATGAACAGTATGAAAAGGCAAAAAGATAGGACACTGAAAGATGAACTCCCCAGGTTGGTAGGTGCCCTGTATGCTACTGGAGATCAGTAAACTAATTCCAGAAAGAATGAAGAGATGGAACCAGGGCAAAAACAACACCCAGTTGTGGATGTGACTGGTGATGGACGTAATGCCCGATGATGTAAAGAGCAATATTGCGTAGGAACCTGGAATGTTAGGTCCCCGAATCAAGGCAAATTTGTAGCAAACAGGAGATGGCAAGAGTGAACACTGACATTTTAGGAATCAGCTAACTAAAATGGACTGGAATGGGTGAATTTTACTCAGATGACCATTTATCTACCACTGTGGGCAAGAATCCCTTAGAAGGACATAACAGGCACACAGGAAAAAGTTACGCCTTTACTGCCAACTTTCCCCATTCCAGTAAAAACATCAATAGACTGAATGCATATTGTCCTTTTCTTGTTTTTTTCTTTAAATGTACTTTAAATGTTAAATGTTAAAATGTTAAATCTGATACAAAAAAAAAAATTTTTTTAAGGCAAAACTGATTACGCTAAGTCTTGACATTTTCTCACCTCAGTTCCCTCACCGCAGCTGAGCTCAGCGGTTTCAAGTTCCAGATTGGAGTTATAACTGGGTTCCAGTCCTAGCTCTGCCCCCCTAATGCCAGGGTCATACAGATGGAAAGAACCACCTACCCAGGATTAGACTTTCTCTTTTCTCAATTTCCAAAATCAGAAGGGCATGAAAGACCCAAGGGCTCAACCCGCCTAGCACCCACCAAGAGGGCGGAAACCGGTGGCAAGAGGGAGGAGAGCGGTGGCAAGAGTGAGAAAGACAGCCACGGAGGAATAAGAGCGAGTCTACGAGGCAGCGGGCGGGGCTGGAGTTCCCGCCTCCGCTGCGTGCGCGCGCACTACAGACGCACGCACGCACGCACGCACATTATACGGCGGAAGCGCGCGCGCAGGCCCAGCCCTCGTCGCCGCCGCCATTTTAGCTCCTGGTTCCGGCCGCACTGTGTAGGCTGTTGTAGCGGGAGGGGTGGGGGTCGGTCAGAGTTTAGTAGGTGCCCTCGACTGCGCCGATAAAGCTGCCAGGGTTTCTTTTTTTCTTCCTTCATAACCGCCTGCTCGAAGAGTTCGAAAATGTCTAAGCGACACCGGTTGGACCTGGGGGAGGATTACCCCTCCGGCAAGAAGCGTGCGGGGACCGATGGGTAAGCCAGGCCGGGGGCGCGAGGCAAGGGCTCGGGCTTTGTTGGGGTCCCGGCGGCGGACGGGCCAGGGAGGGCCAGGCTGAGCGGACCCCGGGGCCCGACACTTTGTTTCCCTTTCGGCTTGGGTCATTGGCGGCGGGGCGCGGGAGAGCGGTGCCACTCCCGGCGTTCGGCCCGGCAAGGGCGCGGGGAGCTGAGTGGCGCGGCCGCCGCCCGGCCCTGTCGGGAGAGCGGAGAGGCCTGGCATGGTCACTGGGGCGCCTCCTCCCCGGGCGGAGTCGAGCGAGAGTCACTTCGAGGGGAGCGGACGGGAGGGAACCGCGGACCTCGTGGTCTGGGCTCCCTGTAAGGCCTGGATCCGGAGCAGAGAGTGGGGGAGGGCGCGGCAGGAGTAGTCGCTTCCAAGGGCACTAGGTACTTCTCGGGCAGTGGGGTCTGTGAGAGGGCCTTGGGGGGAGGCTGAGTGCCCAGCAAGGGGAGAAGCGGAGGCCGAAAAGTGAGAGAAACGCGTGGATTCTGGTGTAGGCGGGGGTGGGGGTGGTGGAAGTTGAGTGTGGCGTGCAGACGAGGAGTTACCGGGGGATGGGAAAGTAGAGGGCCAGACGTGAGAAAAGAAACTGGAATATACCTTATGGGCAGCAGCTGGTGATTTGGGGCCGCTGAGTTTATACTTTGGCGGGAGAGCGCGTGCCTCGGTCCATTCAAACACTTCAAAGTAGATACTAGGCAAACTTCCGCTCTCTGCCCACGCTCCCGCCATCTCCTTTATTTCCTGCTTTGGCCGAAACAGTAGTTACCGGGTTATCCCTGGAATAGATAATAGAAGATAGTCTCTCTCTCTCTCTTTATTATTTCCCTGTGAATTCTTGTTTTCTGTCCCTCTTCCCCACGCTCATTCGTAGGTAGGTTTTGAAACAAGAAGACCCTTTTCAAAAGTGTCTAGTACTTTAAAAACGGCAAAATGTCGCTTTTGGGGAGATTGCTTGGGAGTTGAAATACACAGGTATTTTCAGATTTCTTTCTACTCAGCCTTTTCTTAAAAATGCAGAGGAATTTAACAGTTGACTTTCGCAATTGCATGAAAGTAAGTTCTTGTCCAGTGTGTACTTTCTTTCCTGACGGACAGAGATTTATTCGAGTAATTCAGGCAGAGACTTGAAAGTCTGGATATCTTCAATACTTTGCATAATTTTGCATTTTATTGTGTGTATACTTGTGCAGAATCGGTGTATCAAGTCTGTATAACTTTTTTGAATTTCTGTTCACTCCCTTTGGGTTGATTGAGGTGTCTGGGGAGTATAAGCCAGGATAGGGTGTACTTTTTGATATCTTTTCATGTATTGAATACAGAAAGTATAAGTATGTAAAATTTTAATCTTGTGAATTTTTTAGTTTGCAGTGTTACATGTCAGCTTTGTCGTTTTCGGCAGTGGACCCTCTCCCCTGCAACCTACACAGCAAAATTTTAGCTCCTTTGAGCGACAAGTCACAGACTCTTTAGTCCTGGAAATGACTTGAAATAAAGTATAATTGTTCACACTCAAGGGATGAGGAATGGAGACCCAGAGTTGTTTAGGTGGCTTGTGGAACCTTTCAGTTTACAGCTGAATGTAGAACCTTGATCTTTTGATTTTCATTTTGCCTCGTGCTTCTTCCAATACAGCACACAGACTATAACTAGTTCAGTCATTACAGCCTATTTTAATGACGTTTATATTGGGTTAGTAAAGTAGGGAACACTTGGTTCTTTGTTCCTGTGAAGCAAAAATAAGTTGCTTGTCATCTGGGTAAGGTGCAACATCTTAGTATCTCTCACAGAGTTGAAATTGGAAAAAAAATACACTCTAAGTGAATGAATTCATTTACTCATATTAGGATGTATGTGCACCATTCCCTTTTCTTGTAAATATGGCATCTTTAGTAAAAATATGAACTTTTCAGGTCTTTGATGGTGAACTTATGATTCTATTGGGTGTTATAAATGACATCTACCTGTAGATGAAGGAGAGTTCATCTTTGAAATAAAGCTCAAGTTCTGAGATATTTTGGTGGGGCACTTGTATAGGAATTACTATGTCACCTGAATGTCATTTCTCATAGAACTTTCTCTAGCAGTGAGTTTACAGTGTTCATAAGTGCTTGGGATTCCCACCCCCACCCCATTTAGTAATTTTAAAAGTTACTTTTGTTGATTGTCATGCAGCCTTGCAGATTTTTATTAAATCCCTACTAGTTAACAGGTACCTGAGAGAGTAGGCCTGCCAGTCGTGTGAACTCCACTGTCAGACATGGTGTCCCTTTTTCCCCCATTCCTGAGACGTGAAGGTAATTTCAGTGAGAGATTATTACCAGATTCATGCTCCTAAACTATATTTGGCTTTGTTTACTCCTGCTATATTTTAGTTTTGGACTCGGGTAGAGACGTTGAAGGTTTCTGTTACATATAGACCTTCTTTTTCCCATTATTCACAACATTTTCTGTGTAAAATTATTAATCAAGAGACAACTTACTGTTGAAGTATGGAAAAAATTTTTGAAAATAGGGACTTTTTCATTTTGATATTTGTTTTTATTACTGCCTGATAAGTTTTTTCTGTTAAAAATGTGAAGCAAATATAGTGATAAAATAATACATGTAGTTCCCAAAATATTTTAGGTACTATATGTGTGTGTATATATATATATGTATTTTTTCACTGAAGTTCTGTGATGTTGGTGAGGTTAAGTAACTTGCCCCAGGGAACACAAGAAATGTCCGTTCATAAAAATGTAAAGTAAAAGGCAAAAAATTCTCAGATGCCTTCATCCCTTTCTTTATTTAACCTCTTGATGAAAATTTGTTTTCTTTTATCTCTGCATGTTTATTCACAGGCATGAACTATAATATTTGATAGCAGTAGGATCTTTTTCCTTTTTTTATTTTAGTGGGAGCTACTTGCTTTACAATGTTGTGCTAGTTTCTGTCACACATCAACATGAGGCAGCCCCAGGCATACATACGTCCCCTCCCTCTTGAACCTCCCTGCCATCTCCAACCCCATCCCACCCCCTAGGTTGTCACAGAGCACTGGGTTGACTTCTTTGTGTCACAGCAAATGCCAACTGTCTAGCTGTTTTACAGAGGGGACTATATATGTTTTCATGTTACTCTCAACTAATCCCAATTTCTCCCTCCCACACTGGATCCACAAGTCTGATTTCTGTGTCTGCTTCTCCGTTGCTGCCTTTTAATATGTATTATTTAGGCTTTGATTTTTTTTTTATTCACCCAGAAATGTGTCATAGGCTGTGGAATAGATATACATTATTCTTTTCATTGGCTGCATAGTATTCCTTTTGTAAAGGAGTATCATAATTTATTTAACCAATTTCCTGTTCACTGATTTTTGGGGTAGTTTTCCAACCTTACAAGTAAAAAGTGTGATGAACATCCTTATGTGTACTTACTAATATATCTTAAAAGTCCAATATATCCTTGGAAAGTGAGAATGCCAGATTAAAAGCAGTGCTTATTTAAAATACTTGGATAAACAGTTTACGTCTTTAGAGTGTTTCTGTTTTTCCATGTAGAATTTTAACCTGGTATTTTAAATTAAAAATATGATAACCAATGTTATATTGGGCATTTATTATGTCCCAGGCACTATTTTAAGCACATTACATATATTAACTCACTTAATCCTTGCATTACCCCATGAGATTTTTATCGATGAAAGAAATAACTGGTTATATAGTTAAAGTGCTGAGACTGAGGATTAAGCTGAGATAGAATACTGAACCCTGTGCTCAACCACTGTCCTGTCGTGTCTCTTCCTGTCATGTTGTGGCTAAGTGATGATACTGCAGTGCTTTGATAATTGGTTTTTTAAGCATTAGATCTCAATTAGTAAATCTTCTAAATAACAAACTCCTTTAGAGTAAAAGTACCTGTTTTAAAAAAGAAAACATGCATATATACAATATCCTACATATACTTATGAAGCAGTGAGTTTGAGCCCTCCTTAACTTGCCCTTTTATCTTTCCTGTCCTGTTGAAGGTAGAGAGTTAGAATCATAGGCAACATTTCAAGGTGATTGAATTTGTGTTCTTGTTTTAATCTAAGAGACTATTAATACTATTCACTTTGCAGATTAGTGCACTGAGGCTTATACTTTTCCAGTGGATATGCAACTGTGATCTCGGTGCTCCTTTTACACTTATATCAGAGTTAAACCCCAGTATGTGGTCAGCAGTTAATCTTTGTGTCTTCAAAATGTATTTTATTCTTACTCTGTTGTGGTTGGTTTTGGTAATGAAGTTTCTGGTGAAGAAGGCCCCTGAAAAACACGCCAGGCCTCCCTGTCCATCACCAACTCCTGTAGTTTACCCAAACTCATGTCCATTGAATCAGTGATGCCATCCGACTATCTCATCCTCTGTCGTCCCCTTCTCCTCCTGCCCCCAATCCCTCCCAGCATCAGGGTCTTTTCACATGAGTCAGCTCTTAGCATCAGGTGGCCAAAGTATTGGAGTTTCAGCTTCAACATCAGCCCTTCCAATGAACACCCAGGACTGGTCTCCTTTAGGATGAACTAGTTGGATCTCCTTGCAGTCCAAGGGACTCTCAAGAGTCTTCTCCAACACCACAGTTCAAAAGCATCAATTTTTTCTGTGCTCAGCTTTCTTTATAGTCCAACTCTCACATCCATACATGATTACTGGAAAAACCATAGCGTTGACTAGATGGACCTTTGTTGACAAAGTAATGTCTTCTGCTTTTTAATATGCTGTCTAGGTTGGTCATAACTTTGCTTTCAAGGAGTAAGCGTCTTTTAATTTCATGGCTGCAATCACCATCTGCAGTGATTTTGGAGCCCCCCAAAATAAAGTCAGCCACTGTTTCCCTATCTATTTGCCATGAAGTGATGGGACCGGATACAAATAAATGGCTGTCTGAGGAGGCCTTACAAATAGCTGTGAAAAGAAGAGAAGCGAAAAGCAAAGGAAAAAAGGAAAGATATACCCATTTGAATGCAGACTTCCAAAGAAAGGATAGTTGGTGGTTTATTTCGAAGATAGGCCAGGAAGCTTAAGTTCTGAACTGGTGGGGCTTCATTTTGTATGTTAGGTAGATTATCCTTTAGGTTCCTTTGATTTCTTTCTCTTTATGCCAGATGGGATGAGAAGTTTCAATTTTAGCTTGTATATTTTATAGTTCTGTAAAAGGTGAACACTGGGATGGGAGAAGGAGAAATCACTTTTTATAGATACATGTATGAAAAGATTTTATGTGAAAAGTGTGTGTGTGAATATTTGTGTACGTATAATAAGATTTTTCTCTCTAGGCAAGTTTCTGTAAAATAGAATTTTATTTTTGAAAGGACAAGAACAAATAAAATTGGTCAGCTTATCATTTTTTGTAATTGGGAAACCATCCTAGCTCATGCTGGGTTCAGCATTTTAGCTGTATTCTCCTAAGGGGAGTAACTGTTGCCCAGCCGATATGCTATTACAGAGAATGATTGGTCTTCCCTTGTCTGCTGCCAATAATTGGGGCATCGGAAATTCATGACTTTTGTGTGTTGTAGATAAGGAACAGTGACATATTTAGCAGCTTGTTTCATGGTTCCATATTGCCTCACTGTTTCAGGTCTGAGCCCAAATACCTTGTACATTTGTCTGTTGTAGAATTTGGTCTGAAGTAAACTAGATTAGTTCCCAAAAGTAGGAGATGGCAACCCACTCCAGTATTTTTGCCTGGAAAATTCCATGGACAGAGGAGCCTGGTGGGCTACAGTCCATGGAGTCTCAAAGATTGGGACACGACTGAGAACACACACACACACACACACACACACACACACTCTAGATGAGTAGAATGAATAAACACAGATAATTTAAAAATTCTTAACTGTATTAGGGATCGTCTCTAGTCAAAGAGTTGGACCCAAATTAGCGACTAAGACACAACAGTTAGTAATTAAAAGTAGATAATAGAATTGACTAAATGACCTAAGATTGATATAGTGATCATTTGTGTAATTTTAAATAACTATGATTTTTTTTTTTAATGGGCTGCTTTTCACTTTATGGATGATTAACGTATACATAGGTTTTACAGAGTACTTCCAATGTTTTACTATTGCTTTTAATGATAGATGCAAGAGTAAACAGTGAAAAGCAGAGTAAAAAGTTTTAATTTTTCTTAGTAATATATGCTTTTGAACAAAATTTGGAAACTAACTTAAGAAAGCAAACGTACTAGTTCTTTAACTTAGTATTTGTGTGACTGTAATGTGAGGTGGAGTTACCTTTGAAGCAGAAGCAATAAAAGATTTATTTCTTGTTAAGTTTTGAATACACTTTCAGTGCAGAAATACATTTTCACAAGACCTCAAGGAGAGTTTGGGAAGGACTGATGCCATTCTCTTTGCCTAATTTGTCCCTGCCTTTCCCCCACACTGCCCTTAGTCTTTAACTTCTGAAAAGTAAAGGATTTTACTTACAAAACGAATTCTTGTGTTATTTTAGCTGATGGGTAAAGGTGGAGAGAGACTGTTCTTACCAGAATTTGAATCATCATCAAAGAAGGGAAAGATGGTTATGAATGAGGCATGGAGAATCCTTGATTAAAAGTTCTTTTTCATTGTTTCTAATACTTTTGAGTTTTGTATCAGTTTATTTGGTTGTTGGACATTTACTTTCTTGTGACTATAATGCTGCTGTGAACATTTTGCATAGAATTTGGAATCTGAATTGTAAGATTTTTTTTTCTATTTTTAGGAAGGATCGAGATCGTGACCGTGACCGTGAAGATCGGTCTAAAGATCGAGACCGAGAAAGAGATAGAGGAGATAGAGAGCGGGAAAGGGAAAAAGAAAAGGAGAAGGAATTGCGAGCTTCGACAAATGCTATGCTTATCAGTGCTGGATTACCACCTTTAAAAGCTTCCCATTCAGCTCACTCAACCCACTCGGCACATTCAACACATTCGACACATTCTGCGCATTCAACACACACCGGCCATGCAGGACACACATCACTCCCACAGTGCATTAATCCATTTACCAACTTACCCCACACGCCTCGATACTATGATATTCTGAAGAAACGACTTCAGCTCCCTGTTTGGGAATACAAGGATAGGTTTACAGATATTCTGGTTAGACATCAGTCCTTTGTACTTGTTGGTGAGACTGGGTCTGGTAAAACAACACAGGTGAGTTACTGCATACCATGGTGCGTACTTTATTAATGTTTGTGTTTACTAAATGTGAATTTGGTCCTGGCAGTTACTCTCATTGGCTGGGCTTTCAGAATATTTTGAGGCATAGCTGCTTTGTGTATTTAGCACTTTTTAGTGACTTACAGGGTGGAGGTTCTATGGAGAGCACCTATTTTGCTGAGTCTCTTTGGGAAAACAGCAGTACTGGTTTTGATTCCCACCCCCTCCCAGTTTTATTATGTAAATTATGGCAGTGATACTCTCCTACCCACTTTGAATTTGGAGTGGTACATACTTGGGGGTGCCAAGGTGAAGAGATCTGTACCATTGGAGTGATTTTTGTCATTTTCATTTGTTTTTATAATTGTTTTCAACTATGTGAATGATACCTATTCTTTTAAAAAAGTAGAAGAGCTAAGTAAAGGCTCTTTACTTATGACCTCCATCCAGTAGTGTCCCTATCCTTCCCACCCCTGAACTAAACACACTTATTAGTGTTGTGTTAGTAATATACTTAGGATATTTCTCAAACATGGATGAGCCCTTATTTGCTAGGCCTGTGTCATAGACATCTAGGCTGTTTCTGATGGTTGTTTTGCGTGGGCTAGTATATATTTAAGATAAATTTCCAGACATTGCTGGGTCAGAGGAGGATTAATTGTAATCTTGGTACATACAGCCAAATAGCCTTCCATAGGCAATAGGCAACATATCAGTTTACCCTTCCATAAGCATGTATTAGAACAGATGTGGGAAACCATTAGAGTGTACTACTGAACTTTTGCCAATCTGATAGGTGGAAAGTGGTATTTCAGTGTAATTTTTAACTTGCATTCTCTTGAGAAGTGAGATAACCGTATTTTCAGATGCTTGATCCTGACCTATTGGAAAATTTCTTAGATTTTACAAAAGTAGAAGTCCTTGGCTATTGTAGAAAATTTGGAAAATTCAAGAAAATGTTGGAATGATTTTAGTTATTATTCATCATGCTGAAATAATTACATTGTTTCCTACTGGCCTGTTTTTCCATGTTTATTTATCTATGATAGGTGTTCAGATTTGAGTGTACTGCATTTACAAGATAACCTTTTATTAAGGTTACATAATGACACAAATTATTAATTATTTCATGGAGACATTTTGAATACTACAATAGCAAACCAAAGTGGAATTTTTGTTATTTAAAAGACTGAGCTTTCGTAAATAGGATATTTCTTTTAAAGTGGAGGAAATGTAGTGTTGATGTTAGAAACCAAAACTGTTGGTTTATTTTTATCACCTTTTGGAAATTTAAAGAATTAAATACATGGAAAGATATAACTCTGAACTTAACTACTTTCATGTTTTTAATAATTATTTCAGTGGTTTATGTAGTTTGTTTAATAGCACTTGTTTAATCAGCAGTTGGGTAAAGCCAGGCACTGTGTACTTTGTATCATCTCATTTTTTCAGCAGCCATGCAAGAAAGTTGTTAGTCACCATTTTACAGATGAGCAAAATGAGATATAGATTTATGTGAGGTTTAGTAGGTTGCCCTAGACTACATAGTAGATATAGTTGGGTTCAATATCTAAAACTTAGTACCTTTGTTTCATAGCTAAAGTTATTTCATATTGCTCTTCTGGGGTCTTCTATGGTTAACATTTCAGAGATGAGCTTATTTAGAAGCAGTTAGTGAGAAGAAGGTCAGGTGAACTCAAAACAAGAGGTTTGTGATTATTTGGATTGGTATTTGGGATTTTTTTGTTTGTTTTTAATACTTAAGATAACTTGGATACTTAAGGTTGCGGGGCATTTGGGGGATTTGAAGAGAACCCTTCAAATAAATAATTTCATGCAAATACTTTTTTTGGCATACTCCTACTAAATTTTGACTCAAAACCGTTAAGAATTGTCAGCCATTTTGAGTAATTTTTGTGTGTATGCCTATCAGAAAATGAAGTTCTCCAAACAAGATCTACCATGGTTTAACTTTTGACAGAGATTCATACTGAAGACTTTGCAGATTGCAATTTGGTGTCCATATACTACAGCCAAATAAAAAACTAAAGCTAATTCAGCCAGAGGGACAGCATGAGCAAGGGCATACATTTAGAGAGAAGAAAAAGCACATCCCCTGGCCAGAGTGTATAGTGTGTGTTTGGAGAGGGAGATGGGGCTGGGGAGACCAAAACTGTAGCTTTCTTGCTGTAGATCAAGGGGCCAGCGGAACCTTTAAGTTGAAGGGAGATGACAAGGAATTTTACAGAAATGTCCTGTCTAGTGAGAATGTTGATGACAGGCTTTGTAGGAAGTCATAAAAATTTGATTTTGTTTAGGGTGGTAGAATGGAGAAGAAAGGGCAGATTGATGACTTCTCTGTCAGTCCAGTGGTTAAGACCCCATGCTTCCGCTGCAGGGAGCATTGGTTCAGTCCTGCTTAGGGAACTAAGACCTCCCATGCTGTGTAGCCAGAAGAAAAAGATTGTGGAGTTAAGATGTTACTATTGTTGAGTAGGAGACAGGGAGGGATTTTTAAGTACTTGGAGGAAGGTGAGAAGTGGTTTTGGTTTTAAATTTGTTGGATTCAGGATACCAAGAAATTAGCCATCCTTCAAGTGAAATGATAAGGTCAGGTGTAGGACTAGGGTTGTGATTGACATTTGATGTGTGTCAGAAGAATAAATAAATAAAATCACTCAGGATGATGTATAAAACAAGAAGACTGAGGGCTATGGATCAGTTTTTAGGTAGATGGTCACAAATGGAGGATGGGAAGAAGCTGAGGGAAGGAATAGCTTAGAACTGATACCTGGCTTGAGCAAGTCAGTAGCATATTTTATGATGTACTTCCCTTCTTACTGCTACTCTTAGAAATATGGATAGGTATATTGATGGAGCCAGTGTCCAAATATTGTCTAGAAACCCTTTGAAAGTTCCTGAGATTTTTTTTTCAAACAAAACAAATACTGTAGCACATTCAAAATAGAAGCAGAGTCTGTCTTCTCTTAAGCTAGACATTAGCAATAAGCAGATCTACAACAATGTACTCTCACTAAATATTGTTTTTTAGGATTTACTTTCTTCATAGAAACTGTTAACGCTAACATAGAATGGGTTTTTACTGTTAAGGAATTAATAAATATTTTAACAAGCTTTCAGTTTTAATTTCCAAACACAAGGAATGTATTAGTTGTTGCGCATCCTGGGTTTTTAAAAGTATAAAGAGGTCCTGAGATCAAAAGTTCAAAAACTGATGAATTAGCCAGAGTTTTTCCTATCTTATTTTTAAAGTGGGAGTAAGCTATTTGTTTCGCTAGAGTGAATTTAAAAATCTGTGAATGTTCTTGCCTTGAGAGTTCTGAATTAATTTTAATAACTTTAATTGACCAATGAGTGTTTACTTGAATTTCATTTTGTTTGATCGTTTGAAGTACATTTTGCCTTTGTAGGCAGTTTGCTGAAATGAAGATACATATAAAACTTTTCTGGAAAGCCACGTAAACTTTGATCTGTTGGTTTACAGGCCCAGAGATGCCCTTCTATTTTAGTTTAGTATTTTTGATCATTTTAAGTCCTTTAAAGATATGCGTATTTACATTCCTAGAGAAGCAGCATAATCTCTCCTTTCCCCTTTCAGATACTTGTCAATGACAGCGGTTATCCCCAAATTGCAGAAAACCTGTCTACAAGGCAATAATAGTACAACAACCAGTGTTGTTCAAATATCACTGTACAAATTCTATACCGGAAAAACTCCCATGTTTCCTGTAGCATTAAAACCAGATAGACTTGAGGGCTTTGATGGAGACCCATTGTGTCTTTGTAGCAGTGGGTTCCAGTTTAGTGTAGTAAGCACTTAGATTTTTCCCATGGTTCTTTTTCAGGTAAATGCGTAGAGAAAGAACCATTAAATTAGAGGATCTCTGAGCTTCTGTTGATAATGAAACAGCCAGGAAATGCACTGGCATCACGGCAACAACCAGCTACTTAGACGTGTTGGTCCCCCGCTCCTTCTGTACCCTTCCTTGCGCTCCTTCAGGGAAGTGCCGTTGTTACTTCTCTAGGTTTTGTTGAGTTTGAGATTGACAGTTAACTTTTAAGATCTTCCTAAAATTAACCTTTAGAATGTTACCGTTGTGTGTACTTCTGAGGGGAAAAGGATAGGAGTTAGATTCTCTTGACTTAGCTCTTTTTTTTTTTTTTTTTTTTTAACATTTCGAATGCGCTCTGCAGCATGTAGGATCTTAGTTCCCCAACCAGGAATAGAGCCTGTGCTCCCTGCATTGGAAGAGTGGAGTCTTAACCTCTGGGCTGCCAGGGAAATCCTTAACATAACAAATTTGAATTGAATTGAAAGATACAGCTTTATAACTACAAATAGATATGATTTCTACTTTTGTGTGTGTTACTTTGTAACTTAAATTGTTTAAGAATTTAAGTTAAAGGTTTCTTAGAATATTTTTGGAAACTAACATTTGTTATAAACTTAGAATTTTCCTAAGTTGACTTTTTTCCCCCGTGTATAGAAAAACGCTTGGTGGTGGAACATTGACCCCCATCCAGCATATTCAGCTGAGTGTACCTGGCTCACTGAGGTGTGGTTTACATCAGAGCCGTGTTCTCTGGGACCTTCCCCGCCTCGGAGAGCTCATGCTGTTCAAAGTTTGAGTCGTAAATAATTGTGGTGTGCCTGAATTGAATTTTGTCTTGTATTATTAGAATGAGATAAAACACTTCATGTTAAACATACTCGATGTGTAGGCAGAGTAGAATTAATTTAAATGTGAAATTATTTGATAGATTCCACAGTGGTGTGTGGAGTACATGCGATCATTACCAGGACCCAAAAGAGGAGTTGCCTGTACCCAACCCAGGAGAGTGGCTGCAATGAGTGTGGCTCAGAGAGTTGCTGATGAAATGGATGTGATGTTGGGCCAGGAAGTTGGTTACTCCATTCGATTTGAAGACTGCAGTAGTGCAAAAACCATTCTTAAGTAAGTACTGTCTTTAAAAATGGACACTATTTCCCCTCTGCTTTTAGTTTTCTGCCACCAGATAGCAGACATTGCTAGTGGAGTGTCAGGTTGTCCAGATTTAGAATAATCCAGATTAAACCTTCTTACGCTTACTAGATGACTTTTAATATGGATTCTTTTTTTTTATTAGTAATATATATAGCTGTTCAGTAGACAGTGAAGTTCACAGGTCAGATTTTAGTTACTTGGTGCTATATCTTAGGTGAAGTGTATCATTTAAATATGACAGAAAGGTAGATGATATATCTTAGTAAAGGAAAAATATTTTTACACTTGATCTTAGCCAAAAGGCCGAGAAGCAATGGAAAAATATTTTTAGAAAGAAGGATGTGTGGGAAGGAATATGATTTATTTGGGGTAGAGGGCTTTTAATACTAATTACACAGGTGTTAACCATGGATGTGTTTTGAACTAAAAGGAGCAATCTTTTGTAATATACTCTATTAAGAGTCTCCCCAAAAACCTCTTTGTTACACCGTGTTGAGCTTCTTTCTAATATGATTGACAACCATATTGAGCTTCTTTCTAATACTTTTCACACTTGCATTCAGCATAAGTAGTGTGATGTTTGTTGCCTGATGGTAATTCTTTTGAAAATCTTTTGTTTATTCTGTGTGTATGTGTATGATAGTTCATTTGTTTTTTTAAAATGAGTTCTTTGTCTTGATACAGTCTTCTCCCTGAGGTTGTTTTTAAAAGACAGTGGTGGGTGAGATGTTACACAGACAGTGACAGGAGTCTTTGATGCAGAGGTACATACAGTGTTACAGGGGAAGCTGTGTATTTTACAGAAAACTTCAAATGTGTGTAAAAGTAGAATAATGCTGTAATGAACTCATGTTTATTTGTCTTGCATCTTCAAAGTTGACTCATCTTGTTTCATCCATATCTCAACCCATTTCTGTGTCCCCCAAAATATGAAGCAGATCCTAGGCATTATATGCTTTTGATCTGTAAATACTTCAGTGCATCTGTCTCAAAAATAAGATTTCTCTAAATGTAACTGCTATCACAACTTAAAATTTTTTTCCATAATCAAAACCTTGTTACCTTTCAAATTCCATCTCAGTTTCTTCTAGTTTCTTTAATTTATTGTTTTATTATGATTTCCAAATAATTGCTTTATTAATTAGTTTCAATTAATAGCAATTGAACTTAAGTGTTTACTTCAGTCAGCTTGTCTTTATGAGGTGTGTTTTTGACTTAAACCTTAATCTTTATTGAATAAATCTTTAGTGACAGTCATGATGTTTATTAGTTGTAAATACAGTATAATTGACAAAAGCGTAACAAAATCTGAACTTATTTTTTATTACTTTACAATTAGATAATGTCAAGGAACTGAGGATAATAAAGTGCAGGTTTTGCTCACCTTTAGGAGAAACAATAACATGACATTTGATTTACTGTGCATTGAATTTTTCTTTTTTTTAAAGTAAGCCATAGTTGAGCAGGGAGAGCAGAATTTAGGAATTGGGAGATGAGAAAGTTACATGCAGTGTTAGGGCAAAATGTGTAAATGTTTATAGTGGAAAGTGGTAGGCTTTCAAAAGACGCATGCTTGTGAAAGATTTTGGTTCAGTTAATAGGAAATGAATGACAACAGATTTGAGAGCTCTATCTTTGGCATTGTGATATTTTCTATGGAATGGTTTCTAGAGGCTTTATTTAAATTTAAAAAGAAACCTTAATTCTTAATAGGGTAAGCTTATGGGAATTTCTCCTGGAATCTTCTGAAGAGCTAGAAGGTAACCTAGTATTGTCTTTAAGTGATATCACATCCTATTAGTATGGAGTAAGTGGTAGTTTTAACTAATGGAAGTGCTTTATTAAGTGCAATGTCTTATGAATCCCTAGATATATTTTGTGAAGTCATCTATCAACTCCTTTCTTGAGAACCCAGATGTTCAAAATAGCTAAAAACTTAATGAGAATTAGTTACATAGTTAATTGGATAGGAAGAGTGAATACATCAGACAACTATTTGAGCCCTCCATTAACTGTTTTCATGTGTAATATAAAATGCCTATGGATCTACTTTGTAGCCAGAAGAAGCCTTTAATTTTCACCACAGAAGGATGGTAAAGAGGACTAACTCATAAAGATTGTTTGAGGAGCCGAGAATTTAACCATGTCCTTTCTGATGTATTGTGTGCACTACATAAATACTGGTTTACTAATTAATTTGTTTGAGACTACTTTAGCTTCATCGTTATACAGCTAATTGTCCAAAGATAGTTTCTTCAGTGTTTGGGACACATATGTGTCTACATTCTAGGTCTTAATATTGCTCTATTTAGAGGATTGGATCTAGTGTAAATTTGTGCACACTGTGTTAGACTAGCCTTAAATAGCTATCCAGTCCCAGTAGGCAAGTTACTTTTCAAAACCACCACTGGTTGTGTGTTTGCCTGCTCCCATCTTTTGTATGTATGTTCCTTTGGCCGTCTTGGAATGGAAGTTATTGCGGGGGGCGGGGGGGGGGGGGTGTACCTCAATGAGGTAGTTAAAATATTTAATATTTACATTATTATTTTGGTAGCTAATTTCACTATTATTTTAGGTGATATGCTTCCTTTTTGTTTTTTCCTCAAACTACAAAATTACTGAGAGATCGTAATACTGAGGGAACCTATTAACTTTAACTTAGGCAAGTGATGCTTAGTTATTTATTTAGTCAGCTAATAACAGAGTACCTTCTGTGTGTTGGGCAGTGCTAGGTATAGTAGTAAAACTAAAACTGGCCCCGTCCACATAAAGCAAATACACAGTAAATATAAAATTTCAAATTGTGATTAGGCTCTGAAAGAATTTTGGAGTGTATTTGAAAGCGTGATTGGAGAATTCACTTGAGGCTGGAAAAGAGAATGCAGAATTTCGGTCAAGAACTGAAGTAAAAGTAATGGTTTGCCAGCAGTAGCAATAGGGGTACAGACTTTTTAGGCACATGGAACATCATTTTTTAAAACCCTTTTTTCTGAAGGGAAAAAAAAAAAGCATACTTTTTGCTTGAAGGCACTGTAATCTTCATGTTACTTACACTGATTTGTGTGAGTCAGCATTTCTTTTTTTTTTTTTTCATTTATTTTTATTAGTTGGAGGCTAATTACTTTACAATATTGTAGTGGTTTTTGTCATACATTGACATGAATTAGCCATGGATTTACATGTATTCCCCATCCTGATCCCTCCTCCCACCTCCCTCTCCACTCGATCTCTCTGGGTCTTCCTAGTGCACCAGGCCCGAGCACTTGTCTCATGCACCCAACCTGGGCTGGTGATCTGTTTCACCCTTGATAATATACATGTTTTGATACTGTTATCTCGAAACATCCCACCCTCGCCTTCTCCCACAGAGTCCAAAAGTCTGTTCTGTACATCTGTGTCTCTCTTTCTGTTTTGCATATAGGGTTATCATTACCATCTTTCTAAATTCCATATATATGTGTTAGTATACCTTATTGGTCTTTATCTTTCTGGCTTACTTCACTCGTGAGTCAGCATTTCTAAGGCAGATCAGTTTTGAGATGGTTCAGGACTGGTTTATAGACAGTATGGGTAATCAAAGATTGGTTTGATTCTTTTTCTTAACCTGATTGGAACATAAACCCATTGGGATGGGAGTTTGTATCGGTATACTTATGCATGAATCCTTTTTTTTAAAAATATGACATGGAAGGGGCAGCAGAGGAGTGTGAAAATTTGTCACTACAATGTAGACTATCAGTGAACATAATTGTGGAAAGGTGTAGAGTTTTCACAGAAAGACATTTTCCCTGATTGTTTAAACTTGCCTTGGTGGAGAAGGTACAGTGATAGGTTGATTTGATGTATGTAATTTGCCTTTTATTTTGAATCATTTGGTTTTGAGTATCAGTTTCATTTCAGTCTTGGAATTTGTCAGAAGGCTAAGAACTCAATCTGGGATAGTATTGTATGAAGCAGAAAGTGTTGCAGCTCTTTCTTGGAGGATACATGATGTTAGCTCTGTAAGAGTAGATAAACATCTCAAGATGCTTATCTTTTACATAACTTAAGGACAAGCTGCTGGAAAATCCAGAGTAATTAAGATAGGACATAGTCTAAATCTAATTGAGTGATGAGGGAAATAAACAGCCTGGGTTTTAAGATGTGATAAACCCTTTGTAAAACCTGAGGGAGAGATGTTTAGAACAAACCAGCTAAAGAAGTACTATTTCAGAGAACATGGTTCAGAAACTTGGGGAATTTTTTAATTTCCAAAAGGCAGTCGAGGTGAGAAGATGAAAGAGAATCTAAAAGTACATAACAAATATAAGAGCCTAGTATAACAGAACCTCTAAGGTTGCTACTTGGGGAGAATTTACCAGCCATTGCCACAGCAGATTCTTTGGGACCTCAGGAAACAGTTCGAAGGACCAGCTGCATGACTACTTAGAGTTTCCAGAGTGGGTTTCTAACAAGGCAGTCTTGTTCTAAAAACTTGAGAAAAGAATCAAAAGGAAATAGATTGTAGAGCACAGACTCTAGGATTATAGTGCCTAGTTGTGTCCTGGTTCTGCCACTTACGGGCTGTGATTTTGTCCACATTAATTAACCTCCTTGAGCTTACTGCTTTTTCAGAAGATGGAGCTGACAATAACAGCTACATCTTAGGATTGTTCTCAGATCAAATATGTAATTTGTGTGTGTCCCTTAGAATGTTACCTGTAACACAGCAAGTGTTAAGTCAACATTTCTTCTCTTGCTGCTGCGGATAGTGGTGGTATATTTTCACTGTGAGAAGTTATTGTATTTTATTAACCAGCTAACTGGTTAATTTAAAATGGACTTACAAAGCTAATTTAATAAAGTCCCTTTTAATACAGTATTTGAACTACAATTTGGGGGGGGTTTAGCTTGAATTAAACATTGATATTACTTGTCAGTATGAAATGAATGAATGAATCTAAATATTGTTTTAGGGCTGAAGGTAAGAT